TAAAATTTTTTTTTGAGTGATTTTTTTGCTATAGGGCACGTGTGCTTGCCAGGGAGATAGCGACAGAGAGACAGGTGAGAAATCATCCCCCAGGGGGATAGCTACACTGCAATCCTTTCTTCTCCCATCTCTCGGAGATTTTGAGCATGCACACACACACACCCAGCGTGAGTTTCAAGGTGCCAGGTCTGGAACTCAAACTGCAGTCAACTACATGAGAGTCCAGGGGAATAACCATTTCTTTTTTTTAGTTTATCTCTACCCTGCAGTGAAAAAAAAAAAAAGTGTATTTCTTGCGTTCTCCCGTGACAGATAGAGAAGATAGAGAGACAGGTGTCTGCAGTAGGGTCTCCAGGCACAATTCACCCCGAGCCTGGGTTATAGGCACATAAGTGCTCCTGGCCAGGATAAGGAAGCCCAGGGACGTGAACCCAGGACCTTCCCATGTGGTCTGATTGCTGGACCATTGTCTGACCCTGGGGCTGCCTTTAAGACAGAGTTCCTCAGCCTCAGCAGTGCTGACATTCAGGACTGATCATGCTTTGTCGTAGGGGCCATCCTCTGCATTGAAGCATTCTTAGCAGTGTCCCCTGGCCTCTGCCTGCTAGGTCCCAGAAGCACCACCTCACCCTGCGTTTGTGACAGTCAGAAATGTCTTCAGGGGCCAGGTGGTGCAGCGGTCACTCCCTGCGAGTGTGCCGATGATCCAGGCCGGCTGAGACTGGGGGTGGATCGCAGCATGGAGACCCTGTCGTGGGTGACTTCTATTTGTCTGTCTCACTCTGTTGTGTAGAAGAAGGAAAGAAACTTGTAAGAAAAGTCTCCAGGCGCTGCCACACATCCCCTGTTGGGTAGCAAACCCTCTTAGTTTTGAACTATTGATTTGAAGCGAAAGAAGAAGAGTTCTTGTTTTTTTCCCTCCTAAAGCCTAAGCCTCAGATCAAGTGGGTACTCAGGAAAGGGCTCTTTCTTGTTGCTCCCCATGGGTGAAGCCTGAAGGGCTCTTCTGAAAAGTTGGAAGTTGGGACTGTGGCTTCTCATCTCTCAGGGAAGCACTGAGTGCCGCGGCTGGAGGGGTTCAAGACTTTCGGTCTTACTGATCTGCATGTCTAAGGCCAGACCTGGGCAGTGGAAGAGGCACCTGCTCCCCACCTCAGCTGATGGTACCCTTCCCCCAGATGCGGTCTGAGGAGACAGCAGACCTGCTGGCTGAAAAGGCCCAGATCACCGAGGAGGAGGCCAAACTCCTGGCACAGAAGGCCGCGGAGGCCGAGCAGGAGATGCAGCGCATCAAGGCCACAGCCATCCGGACGGAGGAGGAGAAGCGCCTGATGGAGCAGAAGGTGCTGGAGGCCGAGGTGCTGGCGCTGAAGATGGCCGAGGAATCAGAGAGGAGGTGAGGGATGGGGTGTCCTGGGGCACTGGGCCCAGAGAGGAGCCTAACCCCGTCCTAAGAAGAGTTCCAGGGCCTCCATTCTCTTCATGTTGGTGGGGCAGAGACTCCTTTGACCTGGGGCTGGTGGAAAGCACCAGAACATAGCTCTCTGGTCATGCTTGTGCCTCCGTGATAGGCTGTCTCTGGTGACCACATCTGCACATCCACAGAGTGCCTTTAGCTGAGAAGATGGGAGGAGATTTTCCGCATTAAAAAAAAAAAAAAAAGTTGTTTCTTTTCCTTTTTGTCCAGGAGGCTTTGGGAGAATGGCCATTACTTACTATTTTTTTGAGAGGTTTTTGCTGTAGGGCTCTTGCGCTCACCAGAAAGACAGAGAGAGACAGAGAGATAGAAAGCGAGAAATCACCCCCCAGAGAGGATGGCCACGCCACAATCCCTTCTCCTCCATTCTCCTCTTGGGATCTTGGGTACACATGCACATGTGCCTGGTGTGAGTTCAAGCCACTGGGTCTGGACTTGGGATTTTCCAAAATCCCAAGAAGAGAATGAAGGAGAAAGGATTGCAGCATGGCCATCCCACCTGGGGGGAGATTTCTTGTTTTCTGTCTCTTTGGTGAGCACATATACCCTATAATAAAAATATCTCATAAAAAAAAAAAAAAAGCAGCAGCAGTTCTTAGATATTCTGTCCCTTACCATCTAATATAAGAAGCCTTCAAAAAGCTCATAGAAAATGTACATTATGAAAAAAGTATGTAGGGACTTTATCTTTTTATTATTATTATTATTATTTTTTGGCACTAAAATAAACTCGTACTTTTACCCTAGTCATCCACAAACTCCTTGAAGTACCCTCGTATGAGAACTTTGGTCCATTGGGCTCTTGTCCGGGCACTTGCACTCAGAAATGAAGCAGAAAAGGCTTCTGGATCTTCCTCCAGCCCTCCTCCCTCTCCTCTTTGCCTCACTGACCTCCTCACTCTCCCACAGTTTAGATTTTCCTTGTTCTTCTAGTTTAGATGTGCATGAATAAGATCCAGGAATGTTGTCCTTGCTCTGGAAGTCCTGATGTCGTGTAAATGTCCCTGCCCCACTGTCCAGTGTCATTGTGAGGGTTAACCATTGTTGTGGGACCAGCAATTAGCGTAATGGCTATGTCACTGGACTCCCATGTAGTCGAGTCCCAAACCTGGTGGCTTAAACTCACACCAGGCTTGTGTATGTGCGTGCCCTCTGGGCTGGGCTGGGCTGTCTTCCCTTCCTCTATCCCTTCTGTCAGCCTGATGTCTCCTGCTTTCTTATCAGGGCCAAAGAGGCAGATCAGCTGAAGCAGGACCTGCAGGAAGCCCGTGAGGCAGAGCGGAGAGCCAAGCAGAAGCTCCTAGAAATCGCTACCAAGCCCACGTACCCGGTGAGCGTGGGGGAGACCTGGTCCCTTCCCTCCCTCCTAGGCCTTTGGTATATCTGGCAGTGCCTTGAGAGCAACCATCTCACTGAATGCATGTTGGGAAGAATGGAGGAGGGAGCTTGCAGTTAGGGCTCGGGCAGGGCACCCCTGGTCTGCCGCTGGGCCTGGGGCTGGTAAGGTACCTACGTCTCTGGTGGCCTAGATGACAGGCAGTGAGACAGGTCCAGCTCAGGAATGTTTTTCTTATTCTAAATCATATGGTTTTAGATTCTTCTCAAGAGAACTTGACCCTTCTCCTCAATGCTGAGCTGACATGGCAGATGTCGTAACTGTGCTTCTGGGAAGGCCGGGCTTCACACCTCAGAATGAGTTCCACTGCCAACCTCAGTTCATAGACGAGGAGGCAGATTTCCCTGGAACAGGGTCACAAAGTGAATAGAAGCCTCTCCCTTTCTTTTCCTCTGTGCATTCAGTTCAGCAAACGTTTTTTGCACACCTGTGGTATGTCCTCATAGTACCACGCAGCGGCCAGGTAAGTGCAGAGCAGCCAGGAGCCAGAGGAGGAGGATACAGCCCGGCCAGCAAGGGCAGCAGAGGGTCAGGATGGGGGGGGGGCAGGAACTAGCTGGGGGGAAGATGATATAGGCTATTCCACACACTGGCACATTTACACATGGCACATATATACTCACCGCACAGACATGCACATGGCACAGATTCACGCAGGGCACAGACATGCACATGGCACAGATTCACGCAGGGCACAGACGTGCACACGGCACAGATTCGCACAGGGCACAAGAGGCATAAGCTGTCTGGTGTCTGAGGTTGGGGGGAGATGTGAGCAGTTTTTTCCTGTCACATGCTCTGGCTATTTTCCAGTATAACAAGCCACCCCCGGCCAGCTGGCTGGTCCAAACAGCCATTTCCCATTACACCTCATAGTTTAGTGGATCGGTGGTGCCAGCGACCTCACTGGGGACCTTTCAGGTGATCGCAGTCAGAGGGCTGCTGGGACTGCAGCCGTCGGAGGGCTCCTTTCGGCTGTACCCTCTTTGCTCAAAACATACAGTGGAACAAACTTCATACCCTGTTCTAACTTTGCCATTTCCTCAGCATTGGACCCTGGAGGAATGCATCCATACCCGCTTTTTAATATACTTTGTTGTGGGACCAGCAATTAGCGTAATGGTTATGTCACTGGACTCCCATGTAGTCGACCGTGGTTCAAGTCCCTAACCTGGTGGCTTAAACTCACGCCAGGCTTGTGTATGTGCGTGCCCAAGATCCCGAGAGGAGAATGGAGGAGAAGGGATTGTGGTGTGGCCATCCTCCCTGGGGGGTGATTTCTTGCTTTCTGTCTTTCTGTCTCTCTCTTTCTGGTGAGCATACATGCCTTATAGCAAAAATCCTCTCCCCCCCCAAAAAAAAAAATATATATTTATGTATATATATATACTTTGCTGTATGAATGACCTGTAATTAATCTCTCTAGTTCTTTATGGAGAGTTTGTTAGGTTTGGTTTTTTTATTTTTTTGCAGTTTTGAGCAAAACTGCACTGAACATCCCAGAACACAAATCTCTGCATATACGTATGGATGTACTGGCAGAATAAATCCTCATAAGTAGAACCGTGGTGTCAACTTTTCAATTTCAACTCTCTCTAAAGAGGTTGTGTGATTCCATGCTCTCACCAGTGGAGTGGCAGCTCACAGTCATTTTTCTGCAGATTTTCAGGAAGTATTAATATAATATACGTACAGAGAAGCGCCCAAATTGCAGGTGAACAGTTTGATGCATTTTCACAAATCGAACACACACATGTAGCCAGCACCCATTTCAGAAACCACACATTCCTGGTACCCAGAAGCTGCCTCCCAGGACCACTCTTACTTACTTACTTACTTATTTATTTTTAAAGAGATTTTTGCAATAGGACGTGTGCACTCACCAGAGAAAGAAAGTGAGAAATCTTCCCCCAGGGGGAATGACCACGCTGCAGTCCCTTTTCCTCCATTGTTCTCTCGGGACTTTGGGCATATGCACACGCACCCAGTGTGAGTTTAAGCCGTCAGGTCTGAAGTTTGAACCCGGTTGACCACGTGGGAGTCCAGTGACATAACCATTACACCATCTGCTGGTCCCACCAGCACCACTTTTTACACCTTTGCAGACAGACAGCTCAGACCTTGTGTCTCAGATGAACATTCTGAGTCTCCGCTCTTTCCCAGACACTGTCCTAGTCTCAGTGAAGGATGCAAGGATGAAATAGCGGCAGATCCTGCCCTCAGGAAACTTGCCAACAGTAGAAAGGGGAAGACACACTCAACAAGGAATCTTTGACAGGGTAGAGTTACAGAATAGCCATTAGAGAGCCTTAAACATGGGCCAGCATGTGGCCTGGTGGTTAAGACAGCCAGGTCCCACCTGAACTGCACAGTTCGAGTCTCAGACCCAGTGGCTTGATAAACACTGGGAGGGTGTGCATGTCTGCCCAAAATCCTGAGAGGTGAATGGAGGAGAAGGGACAGTGGTATGGTCACCCCCTGGGGAATGATTTCTTACCTCCCCTCCCTACCTCTCTATAGCAAAAACTTTAAAGAAATAAAGGTATCAGTAGATGGTGTAGTGGTCACGTTGCTGGACTCCCACATGGCCGACCACAGTTCAAGTCCTAGACCCAGTGACTTGAAATTCACACTGGGTGTGTGCACGTACATAACCAAAAATCCCTAGAAGAGAATGGAGGAGGAAGGATTGCAGCATGGCCATTCCCTCGGAGGAGGGGTAATTTCCCGCTTTCTGTCTCTCTGTCTCTCCAGTGAGCACATGCGCCCTATAGCAAAAAGCAAAAACAAAAACGAAAAAGCTCTGTAAAAAAGAGCCTTGAACACAGTGTTAAGGAACCAAGAAAAGAGTTGCCATCTGGCCAAAAGGGATCTAGAATGGCTTTGAGGAAAGATCAGAGTACTTGAGGAGGACCTTGAAAGAAGGATCACATAAATGAAGAAGAAATGGCAGGAACAGGGATAGAGGTGGTCTAAGGGATAAAAAAGTAATTTAGTACTAGCTAGTAGGTAAACGGTGGGAGAGGCCTAGAGGTAGGTGGGGCCATATTTTAGATGACTCTTTGTTCTGGGATGACAGTCCCCGAGACAGATCTTATTACTTCACCCTCTGAGTCAGGCCTCACTCGGCCTGCCTTCCAGAAACAAGCCTCTCAGCGTGCAGGGAGCCCTTTCTAGTGTGGACTGGCCTCTCCCGCACTGGCACAGCAGACTCCCGGCACGCTGGCTGCACGTGCCCACTGCCGTGCTTCTTGCTTGGCAAGCCTTCTCCTTCTGGCACATTCTCTGATACCATGGGAGCGGCTTCTCTTCCAGCTTCCCTTCTACAGCCCCCCTCAGCCTCTTCTCACTCCCTGCCTTAGTGTTTGCTTAGTTAACCATGATGGTCTGTGAACGCGTCTGTCCCTCAACAAGACCTTGCGTGTCTCAGACCTGGTCCCTGTCCTGTTCCCTGTATCTTTGGCTCCTAGCACAGGGCCGGGGAATTTCCTAAGTGAAAAGTGAGTGGGACAGGCCAGCCAGTGGCGTGGTAGTTGGGGTAGCCAAATCCCACATGGGTGACAGCATGGTTTCAGTCCTGGATCCAGTGGCTTGAAAAACGTGCCAGGTGTGTGTGCATGCATGTCCAAAATCCCAAGAGGAGACTGGAGGAGAAGGGACTGCAATGTGGCCATTCCCCCCAGGGGAGTGATTCTTCACTTTCCCTCTGTCTTTCTCTTGCTTTCTCTCTCTCTCTGGCGTGTGCATATACCCCACTGCAAACTAAAAAAAAAAAAAAAA